TGCGATTCATTTTCAGGTATATTGGTGCCGCTTCAAATGGCTTTAACGAAGGTAAGCAAGTGTCTGAAAATAACAGTGATGACCTTTGAAAACACGTTGTCAAAAACTCACCTTTTGTAGAATCTTTGTAAGGCTTAAACTTTGAAACGCATGTCTTTTTTTTAAATTAACAGTGTCTAGAGCTAAAGGAGAAGACGTATCTGCTGTTGAAGTGGAGGATTTGGAAATCAAAGGAGCGCTGCCAACCATAACTGTGCGTGGGTTTTTAAATTTCCGAACTACGGTTGACAACACTGTTATTGTGTTCACGCCTGCTAAATCTGATAATACAGATAACTTACCGTCCTCTTCCCGGACTACTCCTTCATCATCTCTGGCAACCACAGTAACTGATAATACAGAAAACTCAGAAATACAGGATTTGGAGTACACTCAAACACCTGGAATATTCATATCAGGTCAAGACCTGGAAAATGCAGTAAAAGATTCGTATAGTCCTAAACCAGGACATAACCTTGTTCCTTCGTTAGATGACGCATACACTGGACTCAGTCAGAGATTTACTCCTGAACGCTCTAAGAAGGTGCACTCTTCAAGCACACAGGTCACGTCTACTGTTGCACAGCACAGTACTCCTTCTTTACCACAGTATCCTACTGGTTTGGTAACAGTGTTAACAGAAAAAACTATACTAAGCGAGACTACAATTTTTTACGAGACCAGCGTCATCGGTACTTTCATTGATGGAAAGTACGCCCAAATTTTGAAGAGTACTTCCCAAACAAGTTCTTCATCATCAAGTAGCTCCAAACATTCGACAACAGTCCGAAGTGATGTAAAACCTTCTCCATCGAAAGTCTTACAGCTTACACCCAGCGGCGCTACGTTAGTGGTGAATAACAGCACATCTCAGCTCACAAGTTCGAAGCCAATTTCTACGACAGAATCTCATCAACTAGTTGAGCATGCAGAAATAAGGCAGAATAATTTTGACAGGAAAAAGGGCTACGATGACGTCAGTAACACTGATCTTCAGTCTTCCTTTAAGTTCTTGAACGCTGACCCTGAACAGTCAAGAAGTCCCACACAGATCCTGGAGGCTCGACGTTCAAGTACCTCTAGTAGGCAGAAATTTCATCTAACCTCATCCAAAGACATAAGCGAAAAAAATACTCTCCTTAGTGTACGAAGTTTGAGAAGGCCAACAGAGAGATTTCGTTATGTACCACGGCAAAGGAATACACATACCGTAAGTGAATTAAACAACACAATTAATTTCATATATGTGAGTGTGTTTGTTTGTTCATTTATATATATACAAATAGAAAAGATGTTCAGTTACATTCGTATAAAAGCTAAGTAAATATATAGTTATGAGATGATTTCCTCCATTGTCCTGTATTTTTGTTGTTCTAAGTTGTTTTCAACTAAAAATGTTTATGTTAAAATTTTGGTTTTAGGTTCAGTTAAACCGATTCAAAGTGAAGCTGAATAGTCGCCCTGATGAGCTTCTAGAAGAGGACAATCTAGCAACAGATGAAGAGAAAGAGACAGAAAAAGACGAGAATGGTGCTGATGATGGTACTTTGATTTCTGTGGACCCAGCACGTGTCATTTATGAATTAGCAACTATTACCAGTGAGGTTACATTACACGTAGGTCGTCGCAAGTCTGTGCGAACTTTGACTATTACGACTTCTCTTCAACGTACACTAGAACCTTCTGAGCTAGCATCCTATGAACTTGATGCTTCAGAAGTGGCTGATAGAAACAAAGCAATAGTGTCAACAGACGGCTCTTCATACTACGTGATTTCACGTACCTACTCCATCACTGAACACACCTTACGCACTTCGTTGGTTCCTGCTTTGAATGTGGAATATACTACTATGCATACAGTCACCGAAAGCTTCTTTATACGGAAGATCATTACAGCTTATCGCACTTTACCGGCAAATGACTTTTTTCTGCTAAAAGAGACATTGGAATCAGATGTTGGACAATTTTTTAACTCCAGTGTAGAAGATGATTTTCAGGATGATACGTTTCCACTTCAGTCGACATCCCAACAACAAATGTTTCAAACACCACTTCCAAACTCTCCCCTTCTTCAGACATCTAACTTGGATTCGTCAATGCTTTCGCTTTTAAGTTCAAGAAACCTGCCCTTACAGATTTCCAATCCTTTGCTCTCAATAGGGGCTGCATTAAACCAAAATCCGCTTGCAGCTATGTATCTAGGCTTGCAACAGCTGAATCGTCAAGTAACTATGTATTCCACAGTTACAAAGGCAACGTCTTATGTAACTACTGATACTGTGTATAGCACAAAGGTTATTAGGTTCTACGACGGTCGAATTACACGTTCCAGGACCTTGTCTGAATCTCTCTCCACTAAAATTCGTACAATTACAACGTTGACTACAGCTGTTCAGCCTATTATAAACAACCAAGCAGCTCAGCAACAAAAACAGTTGCAACAGCTGATTGGTACTAAACTCCAATATAGCATAGTGACGTCGTCATATACGACTATCACTACAGCTACCAGTACTAGTACTCGCATATACACACTAATTTACAATGCTTTTAGCACCAAATATCGTACTGTAACCAGTACCAGCCCTTATGAGACAACTATTACTACTTATAGTACCTCTGAAATTCCAATTTCTGCCACTACTCAACCTAGTGGTGGATCTCAATATTATAAGTAGTTTCATTGATAATGTGTATCTCAGGTGTTCAAATTATCCTGGAACCGCATACAGTGATTGATAATATTTTTGTAAATGCTCATGAACGTTTATTTCAAGATGGGTCTCACTCTTGATTAGTTGTTTAAACAAGAAAATTTCTCGTGATTAAAGGTGAAATATGTACAGACAGAGAGTATTATAAAGCGTATAGCGAATTTTCAGAGATAGTTGTTTTGAACTTGTTTGTTTGTTGAATATTATGTTTTTATAATGTTACTATGTTTTTAAATATTGCTCACTATCTGATAATTCTAAAAACTGCTTAAGCTGATCACAACCTATTTAATGCACCAATGCATGATTTAAGTTAACATAACATTAAAGGACAACGTGGGACCTTTAGATCCATCTAGGTTCTGTTATTCATTAAATTAAATTAAACCAAAACACCACCTTAAAGCTGGCCCTTATCATTCAAATAATAATCAAGCTTTCTCTTATGGTATCTTAAATTAAATGCATCCACCAGATCTGAAGGCATCTGTTCTAAGCCAACCATCCGGTTAAAAAAATATAGCTGTCTTTGCTGAAGATGACTTCTTTCCTGCCAAAATTTATATTTGTGTCTCATAGTCTTACTATTCTTACCATTAAATATGAAAAAATATGAGGAATCAACATTATCAATTCCCTTAACAATCTTAAATATCTCATTCAGATCCCTCTCTAACTCTTCTTTATTTCAAAAGAAAACAAGTTCAGAGGTCTTAACCGATCCACAAATGATAACATTTCCATCCCTAGTAGCTCTTCACTGAATCCTTTCCAACAGTTCAATGTTCTTTCTAAGAGGCAAGGAGCCCAAGACTGAACAGATCACAAACTTTGGAAATGTAGCCTAACAATGGACCAATACAATATCTTTAGACTTGTATTTGATGATTTTGTAGATACAAATTGAGATCCCATTTGCCCTGCCACTAGCAACAGCACATTGCATGGATAGCTTAAGAGACTGATCAAACAGAACACCAAGATATTTTTTCCCATAACACTGCTAATGTTATTCCCATCAAAATTATATTTATAATTCAAATTGTGATATCCCACATTGCATATAATTAAAACTCATTTGCCATTTATCCACCTAACTCACTAAATAATTCAAATCCTTTTGTAAGGCAATAGCAGCCTTCTCACAGCTAGCAACATCCAAAACTTTAATGTCATCAGTAAATGGAAATAATATTTTGACCATTCATTCATGTATGTCATTGATGTAAATCAAAACGCGCAAAAGTCCTAACAGTGAACCCTCTCGTGACGATAATAGAATTTGACTGAGCCCCATTTATGATAATACACTGCTTTTTTCCATTAGTAAAACACGTTTTCCCCAAGTGAAACCACGCTGACTATCCAACAAAATTTTAAACTTTGTTAAATGACTTTGCAAAGCCTCTTTTATCAGACTCAAAAGTGTTTCCCACCATTAATGTAAGACTAATAGAGCTGTAGTTACTGGAACAATTTTTATCATTTCTCTTGAAAAGATGGCTAACATTTGCCAACTTCTAATCTTCTGGCATCTGCTCTAATATTCAACGACTTGAAAATAATAATAGCAAGTGGCTCACATGTCCAATCTTTAATCCTTTTCAAAACCTTTCGGTAAATATTATCTGGCCCACATTTTTTATTAACAAGATCAGAATTAATGTGATCACCTTTGTCAACTTTTTTTCCATCCAGCAACTGTTCAGGATGAAGGATATTGCTTAAATCTTCATTAGTAGCAATTTGAGAAAAAGTATTATTCAATACTTCAACTATCCTATAATCATCTGATATTAGTCTTCCGGTATCATTCCTCAAAGGCCCTACTCCCATCCTAACACTTTGCTTACCCTTAATATTTTTGAAATCCTTACTATTAATTTTTACATTTTCAGCTAACCTTTTATCACATAGTTTTTATTTTTATTTTCTAACTTTCATTTGATTAACTTTCTTAATCTTTTATTGTCCTCTAAATCTCTCATCATGCAGTGAATTTAAACTTCTTATATTTATAATGCTTTTATTTAATTTTATCCTTTGTGAGCAAATCTGGCTTTTGACTTGCCGCTACTGATTTTGGTCTGTAAGAAAATATGCCTATTTTGAATATTTTAGAAATTACTTTAAAGATTTTTCCATATTTTATCGGTATCCACTAGCTCACTTCACAGCGTATAATTCTGGTCTCATATTTTCAAAATTAGGAACCAAAATCCCATTATTCCTTATCTCCATATGCAACAAAACAACAAATCTTATCTAGCAATGATAACTTGCACCCAGATGTTCCCCAACCTCTACCCTATCAACCATTTCTTTTAAGAAGATAATAATAAATCTAATCGAGCAATGATAACTTGCACCCAGATGTTCCCCAACATCTACCTAATCAACCAATTCTTTTAAGAAGATAATAATAAATCTAATCGAGCAATAATAACTTGCACCCATATGTTCCCCAACCTCTACCCAATCAACCATTTCTTTTAAAATGATAGCAATAAATCTAAAATAGTCCTGCTCCTCGTAGGTTCCCTCATCAATTGTTGAAGAAAACCATCTTGAACCGTTCAAAAAACATCTCTCACTCATGATTTGACTAACATTTCCCAAACTATATGCCTGAAAATAAAATATTTTACAATTATAACCTTCAATAGAATTAGAAGTTTACTGTTCTCCTGCGAATGAGTAAGTGAACTAATGGAAACATGAGGAGACTATTTACATCTGATCATTTTACTTTGTTTATTTTATGTATTATTAAACTGTTATAGTAAATCAGACACTAATGCATCAAATAAATTGTTATCAAGTTAACCACTAAGCAGCACGAAGATTCCTTAATTAATGAATTCTATAAACTCTTAATTTTTAAACACACTTATTGAATTTACATTTCCAGCTTTTATTAATACAACCCAACTAGTAATTCTGAAACTGTACAATGGTTTTCAAGATCGATTGATTTTATATATATATATATATATATATATATATATATATATA